TCTCTAGTGATACTGAAACCGAGTAAAGTCAAAACTATTTCCCCCACCCCAGTTAAAACAGATAATTAGAACAGATAGGACCCCGGATGGGAATAGATAAGTAAACTTAATCACCCTCAACTATTGCTCCACCCTGGTTAAGACAGATGAGTAAACACAATAAGCTCGGTTCCTTAAGAACTGAATGGAACAAAAAAAATTCTTACCTGCTAGTTCCTTAGGCACAGGTGATAAACACGTTAATGTGTCTTAGAAAACAACTTGAAAATTAACTCTGGCCCACGGACATGTGCAGTGGGACAGAGAGGAACAAAGTTCCTGGGAACTAACACTCTCCCCTCTGTCTAAGCCCAGATCAGCTGATGACAGGAAGACGGTGTGACTCATCTGGTACGCAGGTGCACTCAATTAAAAGCCTACTGTCCCTTTAAACCGAGGTGAAGGAAATTTCAGCCAATCATCAACCATCTCACACCCAAATTCCTGAAATTTTTATGAATATGTATAACCTTCTCTTCTGAAACTTCCAAAAACTGTAATTCAATGGAGATTTGGGGAGTCAGATCTGAGTATAGACCCCTGCCTCCTTGCATTGCTGTTTGCAATAAATAATTTTCTCTCCTCTTAATTACTTGGTGTGTAAACTGTTTTGGCCTGACTAGCATGGGGCAGGGCCCCGCCTATGGTCCTATTTCAATACCGCCTTGGTTACCCAAGGCGTGGTCGCTATGAGTCGGATCCAACTCCATGGCAATGAGTTTGGTTTGGTTCGTTTTTTTCTTCTTGCTATAGAAAATTGAACAAGATTTTTTTTTTCTATTTTCTTCTTCGCTTTCCAGTTCTCTTCTCAATTTTTAGAACATATAATGCATAATACATACTATGTAACACATAGTATAGAATTCTTCTGCCTTTTTTTTCCACCCTTGTCTTAGCTCTGAATCTAAGTATAACCTATTGGGTTCCATTCTGATGATTCCACAGTAAGTTAGTTCTGACAAAAGTTAAAAACCCCCCTTTATTCCCCCCAGTTTTCGTTATTATTGCCTTTTATTATCAGTATCTTTATACATCCAATCTTTGTCTTTGGGGACTGGCATCAGAATGATAACATTGGCAAATTACCCTCTGTAATATTTATGTAGTACATACTACCAAAGATAAGATATATGTATAGATAGATATAGATATATAGTCATAAATGCAGAAAGTTGGGGACTACCTATATGTTAAATACTTATCATCAGTCTTTTTTGTGAATTTTTCAAGGCAGCTCTTAATGGATTCTATCTACTCATACATTTCTTAAGCAGGGCTTATACGTACAGAATTTTCTGACTTTCAGAAAATTGAAACTTTTTATAGCTTTGATGGACAATTTGTCGATATAAAATCATCATTTCAAACTGTCTTTACCTGAGTATTTTTAAATATTTAGGACACATTTGTATACCGTAAAACTCACCATTTTATAACGATACACTAAAGTATATAGCTCTTCAAATTTTGACAAACATATGTATCTGTGCAACCACCACCACAATCAACATATAGAACAATTAAATAATAACAAAAGAAAAAAAAAAGATGCTCACTTGTAATCATCTACTTACCCTAACTCTCACTGCCATCAAGTCAGATCTGACTCATAGCAACCCCTCCTTAAGTTTCCGAGGCAGTATCACTATGAAAGTAGATTGCCCAACCTTCCTTCTGAGGAGTGGCTGGTGGGTTGGAACCACCTGCCTTCTGGTTAGCAGTCAAATGCCTTAGGCACTAGGCCATGATAGCTCCTCTACTTACCCTAAGAACCTCGAAACCATTGATCTGCTTTTTGTATCTTTGAAAGATGTTCTACAAATAGCTTAGTTTTTTGAAAACATAGTTTCACCATTGCTTTACTTTTTTAGTTTTGTTATGTGTGAAGTCAGTCTAATTCTCCTGCTTAATAAATTGTTTCTTCTTTTTGTCTAGAATCCCTGAGGATTATTTCCTTTTATTTAAAATCTAATGTCTCCTATATATCTTGAAATTGATAATTACAGGTGTTTTTTAATTTTTTTTTTTTCTGGTACTGGATTGGCCCTATCAATATACCCATTCAGATTTTCTCTTACTTCTGGAAAATATCTTTGGATTATAATTTTAAATATTAATGGTTTTCTATGATTTTTCAGATTTTGACTTCAAGGTATTTTTCTCATAGCTTCAAATGCTTGTTTTGAGATGTTTCATTTGGTTTGAAATGTTGTATTATAATTTTCTTCTGCCTGATCATTCTTTCTTTTTTTTTTTTTCTTTTTTCCTCAATTGCCTTGTTTTGATTCTCATGTTTTGCTTTCTTTTTTAATACTTTGGTATATATGAAGATTGCTTGCATCTCTGAATTTCCATGGTTATGGCTTAGAGTTTGGAGGTGGTTAATGAAATTCTAAGTTCAAGAGCACCCTCTTCTCCCAGTGTAAGAAAGTATGTTGTTGTTGTTATGTGCTGTCCAGTCGGACTGACACATAGTGAGTGACCTCTCCTTGGGTTTCCGAGGCGGTATCACTATGGAAGTAGATTGCCCACCCTTCCTTCCGAGGAGTGGCTGGTGGGTTTGAACCACCAGCCTTCTGGTTAGCAGTCAAGTGCCTTAGCCACTATACTACCAGAAGTCCTGTAAGAAAGTATGTTGTTGTTGTTATGTGCCGTGGAGTCAGACTCCACTCATAGCGACCCTTCCTTGGGTTTCCAAGGTGGTATCACTACGGAAGTAGATTGCCCCATCTTCCTTCCGAGGAGTGGCTGGTGGGTTTGAAACACCAGCCTTCTGGTTAGTAGTCAAGTGCCTTAGGCACTATGCCATCAGAGCTCCCATAAGAAAGTATGTTGTTGTTGTTATGTGCCCTGGAGTCGGACCTGACTCTTAGCGACCCCTCCTTGGGTTTCTGAGGCAGTATCACTACGAAAGTAGATTGCCCAACCTTCCTCCCACTGAATGGCTGGTGGGTTTGAACCACCAAAGTCTGGCTAGCAGTGAAATGCCTTAGGCACTTTTTGGGGGATATTGAGGGCAGCAGGGAAAGGGGTGATGTGTCATTAAATTTTTTGTCATTTTTTTTAAATCTTGTAAGATGATAAATTCTCCCCTCCTTTGTCTTTATCCCTTCACTGAGCATGTCTCAGACGTCACCTTGCCCTTCCTTTTTATCTTTTTCTGCCTCCAAAGAGTTGCTTCTAAGACCTCTTTCTTGAGTCTTGTGCATTCTTTTAAGTCCATTGCTTATGCATGAGGGCTTCTTTTCAGTAATTTCATTCTTAGGTGGATTTCCTTTCGTAGGGTGATTTTAGATGATGGTAGGATTGCTACTAACTCTCTTCTTCTCTTTTCATGCAGATTTTACTGGATTTCCCTTCATCTACATAACAGCATGTGATGGGTGCCTAACAGAAAATTCATTGTGATTTCCTATTGATTTTCTACTTACAGGTAATTGAAAATTTGGTTATTTTCCATACTTGGTAGTGGTATTGTCTAACTTTATTTGTTATTCTTGTTCAGTGAGGAAATGGATGTGTTAGGAGATTTACATTTATAATGATGCCACTGTTTGGCCACCCACATATCTTTTAAGGGATAAGCTGGCAATATAAAACTGTTGCCACAAGACAAAATATAGCATGTAAACCAGTTTCCCTATTTCAGTAACCTTTTCTTAGAGACTTTTGGAGCTATCAAGTGACAAAATACTTACTGACCAGGTAAAAATTGCTGATATTTGAGGTTACTACATCATTAAAACTCAGTGAATATAAGATAATAATATTTCCCTAGCACACTGTTTATAAAATTCCAATTAAGATAATCCATTGCCATTGTATATTTAGGGCAGTACAATTAATTTTTAAGTCCTATGAGAGATTACAGGAGCTCTGGTAGCATAGTGCCTAAGGCACTTGACTGCTAACCAGAAAGCTGGTGGTTCAAACCCACCAGCCACTTCTCGGAAGGAAGGTTGGGCAATCTACTTCCGTAGTGATACTGCCTCAGAAACCCAAGGAGGGGTTGCTATGAGTCAGGAGTGACTCAACGGCACATAACAACAACAACAACAACAACAACATGAGAGATTACTGTCAAGATGCATTCCTCTTTTTTTTTTAAGATTTGAGAACTTGATACACTCTAAATATTATTCTGTCTAGTGTAATTCCATTATACACAGGGAACAGGAAATCTATTTTAATTCCTTTGTGAGATGAGTATATTAGCAAATAAATTTATACTGGGCTCTCCAACTTCTTAGTAAAAGTACTTTGTAGTTTTGTATAAGTGATTTAGATTGTTAGTCATAAATATTAAACTTAGATTAAAATGAATACAACAAAGAAATGGCAGAAAACCAAAAGAAAAATAATAAAATCTCTCATATATACGTATCCTCTCTAATCAATATACTGAAAGCTTCAACTTCTGAATTTTTATAGTGATGATGTGAACTTGCGCTTACATATGTAATAATTAATGTGTTACACCCCGTTTCCTTGCAAAAACATGAATTACAGACTATATGAGGAAGAGTAATAGCTATTATTGTTTACTGTGTACCGAGTACTTAGTCTGAAAACATTACAAAGGATTATTTAGCACATATTTATGAAAGATGATGAGCTTGGTTTTCCCTCCTTATATTTGATATGACACCAGGTATGTTACCGCCCAGATCTCAGGTGTGAGGAATGTTTCTCCCACTACCCCCTCCTGTATATTATTGTTCTTCTATTGCTTGCAAATGACATTTGGCAATAGAGCATCTATGTACCATTTTAATATTCCACAAAATATGTTTTGTTTTTTGAAGAGTCTGCTACTGGTTTATTTAACAAGCGTACTCAATTCATTTTGTAGCACAATTTGCTTTTTTTCTTCATTTTCCAAATGCTACAAATAAAATAACTAACTTTGAGTGTTTACCAAACACAAATGTAAATAAAAAAACAAATAGAACAGTACTTACCATAAAGGATTGCAAGCAGAGACAGTGGCATGACAAGTAGTCCCACCAACATATCAGCTATGGCTAGGGACATTAAGAAGTAATTGGTGGCATTGTGCAGTTTCTTTTCCAAGCTTACTGCCATGATAACGAGGATGTTGCCACCTATTGTCATGATTATTATTACGACAATTGAAAGTGCTGGCCAGTTTTGTACCCCGTCTGGGAATTTGAAGCGTCCACCATCGGAGGTATTGAAAATGTCAGTTACTAGAGCTGAAACTGGACTCACAGAAATATCACAATGCCAAACCAATAGGCCAATTAGGTGCACACTGAAAATCAAAGAAAAAAACAAATTGTCAGATATATACATTATATTGCTTAGATATAATATATTGCTTTTACAAAACAATTGCTTCTCCTTCAACAATCATTATCATCATCATTTCCACTCTCTCAATTAAATCTCAGTATTTCTTTTTTTTTAATCCAAAGAATATTGACTTTTACTGAGTGCTTACTATGAGTCTAGCACGTTGTTTACTGACACATATATGTTCATACAAATCCTCATTTGATTTCATGCAACAGCCTTGTGAGACTTTTACTGATTTATACTCATTATGTAGATGGGAAGACTGAGGTTTAGAGAGTTTAAATAACATTCTCAAGGCAACGCAGTGTGTGGCAAGTCCAGGGTCCACGCTTATGTGACCTTGATTCCAAATCCTGTGTTTTAACCTTTTATTCCATACAAGCAATTATAAACCACAGTATTGTTTGATATTCTGTAATGATCTACTGTTTATAATTTTAAAATGTTAATTTCTTCTAGATATCATCTGAAACAGCCAACAACAGAATGAAAGGAGATTTTCTTTTAAGTATCCAGCACTCTGACAAGAAAACTGGAAGTCACCTTCTTCTAATCCAAAACTAAGAAGTAAGTTGCCATCAGGCAAACATCAGGGAAAATTTTGAAAGAAGCACAGCTGGGTTTTGGGACCAATACACACTTCTTTCTTTGTAGAGCTCTTCCTACATTCTGTCAGTTCCAGAGTGACTTTAAAGTCCTCCATATTTTCTTATTGTCTTGTGCTATAAACTTTCCTTCTACCTGACACTCCTCCCACTTGTATGTTGTGTGGGCCTTGTTCTAGGCCCCATAATGATCTGTAGTTATGTTTAATATCTGTGAGTTTCTGGCTTTTGCTATGTTAGGAACTAAATGCTTTTAAGTCTTTAAAACGTACATTTGTCATGACAGTATTCAGGTAGATTCTACTAGTAGGCATTTTAGGCTGGATGACAGGCTAATGCAGAGAAATAGATGTGGCTGTCTTTTGCACATCCCAAAATATTCACCATGATGGTGATATGAGATTTATTTAGGGTAAATTCTTAACTGTCTTCTTAAAATGTGTTACTAATATGTCTAATAAAACTAAGATATTTATTTTCCTTAAGAAAATAGACGAGATAGATAAGTATATCCAAAATTTCCATTTTAAAGGCCAGAAATATTATCTGTGAGTGGCTGCTTTATGTGTATTCTATATGCAGTAATAGCTATTAAATGAAGATTAAGCAACAACATGAGGATATTTTTCCTATACGTAATAGGAAAATTTCTTCTGTTGGAAACTATAAGCTAAATAATTTTCTATGCAAAACACTTGAAGTAAGATTCTGTCTGAAATCAGTCTGATGGAATCTATAATATCACAGCATCTAGAATCTATGAGTTCTTCATGTAAGTGTTTTTATCTCAGTAGCTTATCCACCTATTCATTGAACTGAAAGTATTACCTCTATGCAAAGAAAATATACGTATGATCTGATTTACTCATTGTTTATTGCCAAAAATCTGAGAAATTTAGAGTAATAAAATTAGATGATTATTATTGTCAAAATCAAATCTCATCTGTTCTACAACTGGAACACTTCATCTGAGCAAGTATTGACTTTATTTAAACTTAAGTTAAAGTATTTTAATAATTTTCTAGTATATGTATAAATGGGAAGCTCTGGTCACATAGTGCCTAAGGCATTTGACTGCTAACCAGAAGGCTGGCGTTCAAACCCACCAGCCGCTCCTCGGAAGGAAGGTTGGGCAATCTACTTCCGTAGAGATACCACCTTGGAAATCCAAGGAGGGGTTGCTATGAGTAGGATCTGACTTGATGGCAGTGAGTTTGTTTTTATTTATTTTTTTAATGTACAAATTATTTTTCTTGGTTTCTCTTAATAGCTTATTAATATGGTTTTGTCTTTAAAGACATTGGTGAAATCATGAAAATATTTTGATTTTCTCATTTTACAAGAAATAGAAAGAAAATACACTTTAGACATTAAGCTTAAAATAACTTCTTAAGTCGAAGTTATCTGATATTCTAAGCAACATGAAAGGGAGAAAACATATATAGTACATTTTGTCAAGTAATGAAAAATAATCAGCAAACTCTTTAAAATGATAGATATGTGTGTGGGGGGTGGGAAATAAAAGTGCCAGATGTACTATTCTCCTGAAACATAAAAACAGTAAGTTAAAATAATACATGAGTCAGTGAGCTATATCACAACTCATCTGTGCTTAATGTGAGTGGTAAATATTCAAATAAAGGACCAAATAAACAGAAACTAGTTATTAGCTCTTGGCTTTGATTATTTTGTCACTGCGTTTCTGGTATTTGTCAAGTGACCAATGTCTCCGCTGTATAAAACTCAAGGATTATTTGACCATTTAACCTCTCAAAATATCAGTTTCCTCATCTGTACAATAAGAATGATCTCTATCATATAATTACTTTGAAAATTAAATTATATATGTAAAGTTCTTGTTTACTTTTTGTTTATGGATTTAATTTGGAAATATATTAAAGCTAATATAGTAGGAATATTTGTCCTTTCATTTTCTCAAACCTGATTCTACTGTTCTCTTCTTTATAAATAAATTAAGTTCCAATAAATTGGAGCTTATCCTCCATCTGCATTCAAACGTGGACAAAAAAAGTTTATGATATCTATACCCCAATTTACATATTTCAGAATTTATCAAGAAATTATGACCCAACTTATTTGAAAAGTTACATAATAAGTAACATACACTTACAGGAATGAATGCACCGCATTCCTCAGATTCACCATGATTGCTTCAGATGTAAACAACCACAGTTTATAATTGAGAAAAGCAAATTAAGATATTGGCTTCATCATGTCGTCCTTTCTGGGGAGAGAAAAAGAAAAGAAAAACATAATTAGTTAAAAGGTCACATACTTACATAGCAACAAACTACATAAACTGAAATATATTTCTTTGGTATTAAGAAACAGTCAATACCTAATTTAGCAAACAGCTAAGCATATTATATTGAGTAAGTGATAGAAAAACAAGGTCAAAGAGAAGACTTTTCATTTATTAATCAATGCACAATCATCACAGGTTTTCTAAAATTTCTAATATAATTTTTATTTATGTGGGACTTCTACTCAGTCTTCCCTTAGTGGAATCCACATAGCTTCAAATTAATGCTTTAAGAAAGCAATGAAGAATACATGTTTCTTAATTTACAAACCATTGGTGAAAAGTTTGTGATGTAATAACTTATTGCCACAGCTGAAGTAAGATGGTTTCATCTTATGGAAACATGGAAACCTAAACCTATAATTATTTTCAAAAAGTGAGCATACTTTGCACAACATACTAGTTTTTCTTTTCAATTTGAAATTATCTGTATTTACATGTATAGCTTTAGCAATAATTTTTCATTCAATAGCAATATTCTGCATAGGGCACTAAGAGGTATATACCAAAATAAATTGATCAAGTTTACTACATGCAAAAATAGCAACAAACCTATGTATCAACCAGTTAGTAGTCAACAGGTAGTATGTTATGGTCAGGGCATATGTAATAATACTGAAAATTGCAAACAAATGGTCAATTGCACCAGATGGCTTAAATAAAAGTCTTTAGATACTTGTGGTTTAAGAAGGGACACTATATCTTCTAAGGTATTAGGCTAGTAGCATGAGATATCTCAAAACTATTTATCAGAGTAATTCTGAGCATATAATTTTTACTTCTGTTAGCTATTTTTAAGGAGTTATTTGTTGCAGTACAAAGCTCCATCAAATTACATTGTGGAGGTTGCAAGAATGTCACAAAACAAAATGTGTATGTATAGTTGAATGGAAAACCAATTTGTTTCGTAAATTTTTCTCTAAATCACAATTTTAAAAAAAAACATCAAATATTTATATAGTAGATTATTCACTACTTTTATACTCAAAATATTAAAATGTTGACTGAGAGAATGTTGACTGTTGGGTGAAAATTTCTACTGTTCTCCTTGTGGCGATGATATCTTTATGGAGTGGAACGTGTCATTGTTAATCTTTATATTGCACTGACATTGAAGAAGCACTCAGTGTGAAATCTGGTTACTAACAAAAATACTCTGAATTTTTTTTCTTCTATCTAGAGACTCCTACCTGGAAACACAGTAAGCATCACTATTTACCTTCTCTTATTTTCTGTCTGTTATCTTCTATTTAGGAATTTGATTATGTTCTTTTCCCAGACCAAATATCTAACTGTGGTCTTGTCTGAGAGCAAAAATCTATTATGAGAGTCAGGATCATGAAGTTGTTAAGTTCACATGCACTGGCCTGTCACTGAGACAAAAAAAAAAAAAATTTTTTTTTTTTTTTGCTTATGGGGGGGTGGGGAGGATAAGGTGTTGAATAGCTTGAGAACACAGACTCACATTGAAAGATTTTTTAAAATCTAATTTGTAAATAGTTTTGAGGAACATGGTAACAAAAATCTCTTGATAATCTTTTAGTGTTTCTGAAAGGCTGAATAGAACAATTGTTCTGTCTGAACAGAACAATGGAATATTGCTTGGTTTAAAATCAGGAATGGTGTTCATCATGGTTGTGTCTGCACCATACTTATTCAATCTGTATGCTGGATCAGCTGGTGGGTTTGAACCTCCAACCTCCTGGTTAGCAATCAAATGCCTTAGGCACTATGCCACCAGAGCTCCATATCAACATACATCTAACATACCATATTTTGTAAGACATATCATCAAAAATTTTGGCACTTGAAAAGAACAGAACCAAAATA